GCCAGGCCCTCCTCTGCAGGCTTCCCTATGCCTCGTGGGTAGAAGCTCTGGAGTGAGGAGGAAGGGAAAGAGAACAAAAGGGAGGGCGCTGCCAACCACAGAGGTTATTATGCTCCCTGAGGATGCTGGAAGGCAGGGAGAGAGCCGTGATAATAAGATTCTCACCCCGTTTTCCGTGTGACGGCAAATAACAGAGATGAGAAAAGAGCATCCGTCAGAACTCACAGAGAAGGCAGACAAGGCAAGGAGATCAAAGGAATAAATCCATCGCAATCTGAAAAACAGCCTGCCTGCTTTCATCTGTCTGGGAGGTGACGCAAGGACCCACACTCCAGCCAAAAACACACTTTCTTCCACCCAGACCGTGCAGAGCACGGCTGAGGGCAAGGCAGCTTCCAAAACAGACCCCCTTGGGGATAATACATCTTCTCCTTGGTCTGGCCACATCCTGCCAGGACCTTGATCCCCACTCCAGGCTAAGCTCTAGAAATATACCCCTGCCAGGGAGATTTATCCATTTTAAAAGGTCAGAGAATTACTGTCACTGAAGCTTGGGCACAGAGCAGGTGTAAATATTCCCGAGGTTCCACGAGTGCTTTATCATACTCAGGAGTGAGGACCTGGGGGAAGTGGGGCCTTAGGGAAGTTCCTTCCCAGACAGACCACGTAACTACCCTGGTGCCTGGAGAGACAGGGAGTTCTCTGGGGGTGGGGACCTACCTGCCCATGCCATCTTTATCACCTTTTTCTCTCTCTCACCTGGGAAGGGTCTCATCTCCAGCTTCCTGGGCTGCTGGCAATGCCAGGGACCTGGATCCTCTCTGTCCAGTTTCACAGAGCATCTCTCAGAGGGTAAAAGCATGCCACTCAACAGATTCCCACCTCAACCCAGTCCCCGAAATACCGAGAAGACAGAAGTGCAGGGCCAGTTAAAAAACAACCATCACCTTAACTGTAGAGACTGGATCACCTGTGTTCCAATACACTGGTTCCCAAGCCTCTCTTCAGAGGGGAACGGAATGCCATTTCCTCAGTAGGAATTCCCATCTTCTCACATCCGACTAAGAACTTTTCAGCATCTCAAGATGCTCTGGGGACTGTGTGGATCTGGGAAAGCTGGAACTGTAACGAAGTTTTTAAACATAATCAGGCCTGGCACAGTGGCTCACGCCTGTAATCCCAGCACTTTGGGAGGCTGAGGTGGGTGGATTGCCCGAGGTCAGGAGTCTAAGAACATCTTGGCCAACATGGTGAAACCCTGTCTCTACTAAAAATACAAAAATTAGTCGGGCATGGTGGTGCATGCTTGTAATCCCAGCTACTTGGAAAGCTTAGGCAGGAGAATCGCTTGAGCCCAGGAGGCAGAGGTTACGGTGTCACTGCAATCCAGCCTGAGCGACAAGAGCGAAACTCTGTCTCAAAACAAAAATAATAATTAATCACTGCACTGGTACAAAAAATGCTGATGCTTTCAGGAAGCCTGGAGAAGCCTCCAGATGTAATGGGAGGGTTCCAGGCTGCAGAGACAAATAGACCAGGGTTCAAATCCCAGCTCTGCCACTTACAAGCTCTGTGACTATGGACAGGCTATCTCACCTCTCTGGGCTCCTGCTCGCCACGGTAGAAAAAGATAGACGATGAGACCCAGTTGCTCAGGTGCTACAGGGATTTCGGCTGATGGATTATTGTATGGCTCCTGGCCGATGCCCCCTGAATCGTTATTATTTGGTTAAGTTGCTTTTGTCAGCCCTGAGATATGAAGAGAGACTGAGAGAGACAGAGAGAGAATGTGTGCATGTGTATCTGGGTTAAACACCCTATCACAAACCAACTCAATCAAATGGCCCAGCAGCTGCACAGACTTTCCAAAGTTTAGAGGTTAAGAGGCTACAGTAGGAAAACAGGGCATACCAGGGACCAGGAATAGACACATTTGGTCCCTCTAGATGAGAGGAGCCTGTCTCCCTTTCCCTCTCCCTCCTACCTCCTCTTTGCCCAAGCCCAGTGCACAGCCTAGAACATGCTACCCAGGGCTGATGTTCCACATGCATGACGGTGTGGTGGTTGTAAACACGGGCAACGGCCGGCCTTGCAGGCTTCAGACCTCGGCTCTGTCCCTCACTCTGGGAGCTCCAGGAGAAACCTTGCTGAGTCTGTTTCCCTTTGTTAAAAGACGGTGTCAATCTGGCAGCTCCTTAATAAGTTAAACATAGAATTATTGTATGGCCCAACAATCCCACTCCTAGGTAGATACCCACAAGAACCAAAAACAGGAACTCAAACAAGTACCTGGGCACAAATCTTTATAGCAGCATTCTTGGCAACAGACAAAAGGTAGACACAACCCAAGTTTCTATGCCTGGATGAATGGATAATCAAGTGCTCTTGCCTTACAATGGAATATTATTCAGCCATGAAAAGGAGAGAATGCTGCAATATGAACAAACCTCAAAAACATGATCCTAAGTGAAAGAAGCCAGACACAGAAGACCACCTACTATATGATTCCATTGATATAAAATATCCAGAAAGGTAAATCCACAGGGGCAGGATACAGATTCACTGTTCTCAGGGGCTGGGGGATGGAGGAAGGAGAGGGGTGACTGCTTAAAGGTCATGAGGTCTGCTTTGGGGATGATGAACATGTTTTGGAACTACGTAAAGGTGTGGTGGCACGACATCGTGAATGCACTAAAATCCACTGAGCTGTTCACCGTGAAATGGCTAACTTCATGTTATGTGTATTTCCATTACAAATTGATTAACAAAGAGGGAAACGACGGTGCCTCACTCAGGCAGTATAGAAAGAAGCGATGAACACATGTGAATAGGCACCTGGGCTAATCCCTGGCCAGTTATAAACCCCCCTCAAACACTTTGTTAGATGCTTCCTTGCTCTGTCGGCTTTTAACAAAGACCACCTCCCAAACACCCAACTAGTTCTGAAATGACTTCTCCACCCATGGGATGTGCCAGGGATGAGCATAGGTGCTGGGATAATACTCCCCGCAAAGAAAGAGGACTCCGAGAAGCTCCCCGCAGTGTTAAATGCCTGAAGGCAGCTGCACCTGGGAGAACTCCTCTGCCATCTGCTCCATACTCTCCAAAGCAGCAGCAGAGGAGGTAACAGACAGGCCAGAGCTTGCCCGCTCTAGTACCTGCCTCCCAAGAAAACCTCTACTGCTCAGATCCAGCCATCCCCACCAGGTCCTGCAGAAGGCAAAGTGGTTCAGGGAGACCACAGGATGGGCAGACACCTACCAAGAGCACAGGCAAAGATATAAAACCTTCTCTTTTCAGTGCCCAGCCCTAGAAGCTAGGATTGACCTAAGTGACTGGGCGGGAAGCCAACAACAGAATAAGCAGTGACCTCTATCCTGAGATGGATCCAATATCCCAGAATCTCAAGACTTCTGACTGTGTTTCTGATAAACCAGTCAACATCAACACAAAGGTCAAGCAAAAGGTAGCTACTCAGCATAACGTTTTCAAGGTTCATCTAAACTGTAAAATGGATCACTGCTTCTTTCCTTTTTATGGCTGCGTGATATTCCACTGCATGGATAGACCACATTTTATTTATCCATTCCTCCACTGATGGACATGTGAGCTATTTCTCCTTTCTTGCTTCCACGAATAATGTCACTGTGAAGATGTGTGTCCATGTGCTTGTTTGAGTACCTGTCTTCAGTACTTTTGGCTATATATGTAGGAGTGAAATTGCTGGGCCATATGGTAATTCTATGTTTAACTTTTGGAGGAACTGCCAAACTGTTTTCTAAGTAAAAGAAGCCAGACACAAAAGGTCACTTATTGTATGATTCCGCTTATGTGAAAAATTCAGAATAGGTAAAACCATAGAGACAGATTGCAGACTGCTGGTTGCCAGGGACTGTGGGGAGAGGAGAACTGGAGGGGAGACTGCTTAATGGGTACAGGGCTTTACTTTGGCATGATAGAAATGTTTTGGAAGTAGAGAGAGGTAGTGATTGCACAATACTGTGAATATACTAAGTGCTCCTAAATTGTTCATTTGAAAATGGCTAATTTCATATTATGTGAATTTCACCTCAATACAATTTGTTTGTTTAAAATGCAGCTACACAAACTCTTCTACCCATAACTGGCAGCCAACAAGAAAAGCCTGGGGAAGGATGGACAGTAACAGGATGGGAGGAGGAACAAGAGGGCACGGAGCATGCCCTAATCACCACTCAAATGACAGCAAGCATAGATTCCGCCTCCCCACAAAGCCTCCTTTGCTACTTAAACCATCTCTAATCCACTCCAGGGCCAGCCACATGATCCTCTCCAATCCCATTACAGAGGAAATTTACATATGTAATAAAAAGATGCTGTCTTGACACTAATCATGGGGAAAAAAAATCTTACGTTTGTATTAATTTTCCTTCTCAGGTTTTAATTGAAGAGTGGATACAGCATGGTGGGGAAAATAAAAATCTTACTTCCTCTTTCCAGAGCCATGTAGCTTCATTAGAAATTACATTAGTTCCTCATTAAGCAACAATAATAACGTAGAGTTGAAATCGATTTAAAAAAATGCATTGCCCCAAGGTATAGATCCGTTCGGTTCAATTATATTCTTGCATGGCCAAGCTCTGGTACCTCCAGTGCTAATAAAATTGTGGCATAATGCCAGGATGTGGGCTTCGTTCACTCGTCTTCAAAGCTCAGTGATGAGATATAGGCAAGCACCCTCATCATTCCCAATAAGGAGCTGTTTAAATGCCCACCCACCCCTCAACCCTGGCAAAACTGACTTCATTTCTGGAGCTCATACGTTTAAGATACCAAGTACATTTGACCTCATGAGCCTTCCCTGATCAATTAGTAGTGACTGTCTTGCTAAGGGATGAACTGCACGGTGGTTGATTACAGATGTCTGTCCTGGGCAGGGAAGTTGCAAGGCTGTGATGCGCGATCTTTCCATTGCTTTCATTTCCACCAGACTTCACAGTCAGAACAAAAGGAGCACTTACCTGACCCTCGACCAGGCCGTATGGCAGCGACAGTAGATCCTGCATTAAAAAAAAGAGAGAGAAGAAATTGGAACAATTGCTTTTGCTTTCTTTTTCTCTTAGATTTAGAAAAGAATGTTTTATTCACTCATTCTAAAAATGTCCATTGAATGCCTAACATGTCAGGCTCTGTTGTAGGCTGTTTTTGACAACAGACGAGATGACAAATCCCAGCTATGGGACAGAAGGGAGATGGGGAGAACGTGGCAAATAAGGAAGCTAATAAATAACTATTCATAATAAATGAAGATCAGATCAGAGTGGTAATTCCTATGATGATTGACGTCACTCATCTATATTCCTAAGATGAGAGACGGAGTGGAGAGTGATGGTGCGACTTTAGACTGGGGGTCAAGGAGCACTGCGAATGGAATGACAAGAGGGAGACTTCCATATGGAGGGGTGGCAGGTCACACGCCCTGGACAGACACAGGGGCAAGGTCTAGGAGACAGCCCAGAGTAGCCAGGACCATCAAACCGAGTGACAGGAGAGGAAAAGAGATGATGTCAAGGAGGCAGGCAGGGACCAGAGCATATCTAGCCTTGCAGGTTGAGACACAGAATTTGGGTGTTTTTCTAAGCAATGTGGGAGATTACAGGAAGGTAACATTTCTTTCTGAAAACACCCCAGCTCCTAAGCTAGGATTCCTAGGTAGCACTTGCAGAAACCCTTGGTGCCTCAAAGAAGACCTCACTCTGGGAGTACTATCTAATTTCAGGCCCCCAGGAATTGAAATGCCCCCTCCTCCCCCACCAGGATCTGAACTCAGCCAAGCACCTCCATTGGGTCAGACCCCCAACTCCTCCCCTCACCACATGTAGCTCCGGTAGGGTAGATCAACCCACACACATGCTCCCCTCAGTCTCAGAAAGCTGGGTCAGTTCCTTGCACAGGGAGGACCCTGGCTTAGTCAGAATGGAAACAGCCTGTTGCACAGACACTGTGTGGAACGTGAATCTGAGCCCCAGCCTTACCCAAGCCAAGCATATGACTCTTTCAGCCAAGAACACCTTCTCTTTTTTTGTCTCTCTGACCTAAGCTTATGTTTCTGCAATATTCCAGAACTGGGCAAGATGATTTCCCACCTTAAGTGAGAGAAGATACCATAGCTCCCCTTTTTTCTTGCCAAAAGTTCAGACCTGGCTTTCAGGGTCCCCAAGGACTCCACCAGCACTTCCTCTTCCTTCCAAGCCAAGGACATTCCCCCAATACCAAGTGGTGAGAGCAAGGGCTCCAACACAACAAGGTGCCTCTGGGAGCTAACCCACTGCAGCACCATGAAGACAGAGACCAGACGCAGCTCTGCTCTGCTGCCCAAGGCCTCAGGCACAGCAGACCTGGCCATTCTGGAGGAAGTCACATTCAACCCTTGCTATCCACTGGACACCAATTGTTCAGTCTCAGATTCCTCAGCCTACTTCACAGGGTGGAGATTCAATGAGGTCACGCATGCCTGGTCCATGGAAAAGTTTAGTGAAGGCCTGAGTGTTAAGAGCTATTATTAGTATGTTTGTTCTAGTTCTTGGCCGAGCCCATGGCCATGAAATTAACAATGAACATGGGCTAGAGTGAGTCAGCTCAGTCTCAGCTACGTGAAGAGGAGTCCTGAGGGGCATGACTCTGACCGAGACACACAATTTGGAAACAGGTAATCCACAGAGTAGATACTGAATACACACCTGGAGAATGAGGTGCTTCTCCCAGCCCTGTTCAAAGGCTGTGTTTTAAGCTGAACTGCGCCCCCACCCCCTCAAAACTCCTGTGTTGGCAACTCCAACCCCAGGACCTCTAAATGTAACTGACTTGGAGACAGGGCCTCTAAAGAGGTGACTGAGTTAAAACGAGGCTGTTAGACTGGGCCCTGATCCAGTCTGACTGCTGTCTTCATAAGAAGATGAAATTTGGACACATGCAGAGGTGTCAGAGACGCAGTAGCAGAGAGGCAAGGCCAGGTGAGGACGCAGCAAGGAGATGGCTGCCTGCAAGGCAAGGAAAGGGGCTTCAGAAGAAACCAATCCTGCCGACACCTCGATCCTGGACTTCTGGACTCCAGAACTGAGAGAAATAAATGTGCTGTGTAAGCCACTACAGCTATACTACTTTGTTCCAGCAGGCTGAGCTAACACACACACACCGGGGCACACGTGACCTTTCTCTCCCCTCTACTAGGTGCAAAGGAGAGGGCTTGTGGTTCTCAAGGAGGGCCCTTCCCCTCCCAGTCTACAGACCTCTGTGCCAGCCCAGGTGGGTCTCTGCCCTCAAGCTCCTAAAGGAGGTGCCTGCCGACCAGGGTCTGCACACAGGGGCTGAACTCCTGCGCTCCTAGAGACAAACCTCCCAGCCCCTCCTCCATCCACCGCGCCTCCCCTTCACGGTCTCCAAGCCCTCCTGCTCTATTGCCTCCTTTCTTGGGACTCAGAAACACACCCAAAGCTCGCCACATTATTAACCATACAGCTTCGTTTCCTCTGCTTCTTGCCATCTGCCCTGCAGAGCTGAGCTGAACGCTGGAGACCTGATGGGGCACAAATGGAGGAGGCCCCGCGTGCCCCCACAGTCTGGGGAGGAGCATACTGCACTGAGAGAGCAGCAAAAATGCACGTAAAGCTACAGCTCTGCAGGAGAAGATGATGAGGCAAGGACCCTTGGTGCCCTGTCATTTACTCTTCACTGCCTGGGTTCCCCGCCCACCCAGACAGCTAACTCCACAACTAGAATGCTCTGCAGTGACTCTCCCTTCTTCAAGCTCTGTCCTGTCCTGTCCCATCTCCTCTCTTCCTGAGGCATTTCCTCCTTTCTCTGTGCCTATTCCAGGAATGCCAACATCCCCTAGGGTCTGCCCTTTGCCCTCCCAGAGAACCATTTACCATGGCATCTGGACCCCAATGTCTACCTCATTGAGGACCCCTGACTGTGCAGGTCTAGCCTCAACTGCTCTCTTGAGCACCAGACTCAACTAACTGACCATCCTGTGGCCCCTCCACATGGTTGTCCCTTGGACATATCAACTCCACACAGGCCAAGCCAAGCTCTCCTCTCTCCTCATCTGTGCCTCCTTCCCCTCCTGACACCAAGAAGGCATCTTGGTTCTCCCAGCCCAAGGAGCCTGGAGCCCTGGCACCTCCTGATTCCTTGCTCCTGCTGGTCCATCACAGAAATGTTGATCCACTGCAGGTGTGCATAGCACAATGCTCCCATGCCTGGCTATGGCAATGAGAGGCTCTTCAAAGGCTACTGAATACCTCTCTTTGTGCTACTGATAACAATTTGGCTGAAAGCAAATTTGCTCAAAATAGACCTCCCATGGTGCCTGCATTTCTGGGTGTTGTAATCTTGGTGTTGCCATGAAGTAGGTCGGTTGGTCCATCTTTTTTTTTTTTTCTTTTTCCGACAGAATCTCACTCTGTGGCCCAGGCTGGAGTGCAGTGGCACAATCTCGACTAACTGCAACCTCCAGCTCCCAGGTTCAAGCAATTCTCTTGCCTCAGCCTCCGGAGTAGATGGGATTACAGGTGCATGCCACCATGCCCCGCCAATTTTTATATTTTTTGTAGAGACAGAACCTCACCATGTTGGCCAGCTGGTCTCAAACTCCTGACCTCAAGTGACCCACCTGCCTTGGCCTCCCAAAGTGCTGGGATGACAGGCATGAACCACCATGTCCGTCTGCCGTGAAATGGTTTTAAACACTTTTTATGCATCTTAACCACTTGGATCCGTTTATTCCCCTGCATTATTTGCATTTTATTTTTTCATTTAGAAACTCAAAATCTAGTATTGCTAAGCTCAGTGATGACTAATGGCAGACAGAGAAGAATAAAAAGATGAGCCTCACAGAACAGCCCCTTGAAAAGCAACGCACTTCATGCCACTGTGCTGCCTTGCAAAAATCTATTTTGCAGTAAGTGTGATCCCAGAAAGGTAAGGTGTCAGTTGGATTCATCAAAAAACAAAATCCATGTTATGTTCCCAACCACTCCTCTTTGAATTATAAAGGAAGAGAAAATTCCCTACCACCCGCCAAACTCAACCCTGGAAGTACAACCAGCGATGCAGGACTGACGTGTATTCTTCAACCATTTTCCCTAAAAATGCAAAAACATATCTGTCATCTATGCATATATACATAGATACATACACAAATACACTTTCAGTTTTTAAAAGTGGACCAATGCTTAGTTATTGATATGCACACCTTCTTTTCAAAAATGTATCAATTTGGTATGAATGCCTTTCCTAGGCAATTCATGGATAACCAAGTTTAATTTGAGCAACTTGGAAAATTCAGGCCAGATTATTCTTTGTCATGGGACTCATCCCATACATGTAAGACATTTAGCAGCACCCCTAGCCTTTACCCACCGAATACCAGTCTTACATCTCCTCCCCTAATTAAAACAACCAAAATGTCTCCAGAAGAGGCCAAATGTCCCCAAGGGACCACAGTCCTCAGCCCTTGGTGTGGAGACACCTATTCCTTCTTTCCTAACAGCTGGTAAAATCCCGTGCTGTAGATGCACCATACTTATTTATTTTCCTACTGATAACATCCAAAATTCCTCTATTTTTAGGAATTTGGTAGTTGAAAAATATCACAATGTACAAAGTAAAGGGTCACTTTATACTCGTGGTAAAACTTGAGTTATTGTGTATCATGCTTGTTTAAAACACACAGGTGCTTTCTGTGCACTAGAAACTCTCTGGGTTTCTAGCCAGGCATGGTGGCTCACACTTGTAATCCCAACACTTTGGGAGGCTGAGCTGGGTGGATCAACTGAGGTCAAGAGTTCAAGATCAGCCTAACCAACGTGGTGAAACCCCATCTCTACTACAAATACAAAAATTAGCCAGGTATGATGGTACACATCTGTAATTCCAGCTACTCAGGAGGCTGAGGCAGAAGAACCACTTGAGCCCAGGAGGCAGAGGTTTGCAGCGAGCCAAGATCACGCGGGCAACAGAGTGAGACTCTGTATCAAAAAAAAAAATAACAAAAGAA